ATGTCTTATCAAGAAAAAAAGATAATATACTCTTAATCAAGAGAAGATAAAGCTCTAATATTATAAGTGCACTTTTGTCAATCTTTCAAGGACATGAACTAAAAGAAGATGCATAAATTTGTGAAATCTATAGTAAAAGAAATATAAAAAAATAAAAATAAAGAAGTTTATATATTGAAAAGAAATTAGAATGGCTATTACCAAAAGACAAGGAAATTAGAGACTCTTGAATCTAGACTAAAAGCAAGAAAAGAATTGATAAGGGTGAAGAAAATTTCACTCTTATCTCTGTATATATTATCTATCTAGGATCCATGTGGCAATATTCTATAGGACCTCAAAAACGTCTCGACTTTATATGACACATATCTTGATTTACAAGACAAGTTTTTTATATGGATGCTACATAGTTAGCTTGTTTCGCAAGCAATCAATACATGTGGTATATAGTTAGTTTGTTGACCAAGTTTTTAACCTACCAATCAACTACAAATACATATAAAGTCAATACAACATCTACTAGCTTCTAAGAAGCTTCTTCAGAAGGTATTATAAAATTAATCTATTTTTACCTATTTCTACCTATTTATCTAAGTAATAATTATAATAGATATATATTTTTGATACATGTATATTTTATTAAATTTAATGCCTCACTTTGCTTAGATTTCATAACCACTATATAAGTTATTTGAAAATGTAAAAAAAATATTTGACAAGAAAAACATGAAAAAGCTACAAAGAATTTTAAGGAGGTTTTAATATGACCATCTACTCTAAGTCAAGTAGATTATCAATGTGAAAGGTCAATAGTAGTGACAACAGATATTAATCCAATAGCAATTGGATAGACTATTAAACAAAATGATCAAGAAAAAAATAGATTTTTTATAAGATTTTGAATTAGAATTCTTATTGATAGACAAACGATATATCCATAAGATAAGTATGAATTTTGAAAAGCACTTATGGCTTTAAAGGCTAAAAAAAAATTATTTGATTGGAACTAATGTTATTTTAGAAATAAATTGTCTGCTTTTATTTGGCATGGTAAGAAATTGATCGACTTTGGATATTGCTATGTTGACATGGATAGCTTACATCCGGGCATTAAATCCAATTTTGAAGCACATCAATAGCAAAGATAATTTAACAGCAAACATATTGTATAGAATTAGATATATTAGTAAAGAAAAGATGATGGCTTGTAAAGATAAAAAAAAGTTGAAGGTAAAAAGACCTATGGATATTCATTTTCTATTAAAGAAGTGAGTTGTAAAAATAATATTCAAGTATTTTAAGAAAATCTATATAAAAAAAAAAAATTAAAGATATTGGAATTTATTTGAATACAATGAAGAGGCAAAAAGGTTGAATGGATAAAGCTTTTAAGGATATTTAACATCAATCTTATCACTATCTTTTCAAAGATGGATTTTTGTAGAAGAGTCCAAAGACAAGTTATAAATACCTATTGTAGATGGTATGAGACTTCATGACCAAAAACAAGGTTTTAGAAGAATTTTATAACAAACTTTGAGTTGAGTATAAAGGAATTTGGACCACTTGTACTAAAATCAAGAAGAGATATTGATTGAAAAGATTATTCAAATATTTAGAAGACCTTTTAGGTTCTTACACATATTATTAAGTACAATCTAAGATTAAGTATACAAATGAGCTTCAATCTATCTATCTACCTTCTATATATTTTCAATAGGTGATTAATTTGATAGCTATGCCATCTAAACTTTGGGACATGAAATATTTGGTTTTGACAAGAAAAAGACTATCAAATTTTGTTGACGGAAAGACTTTAAAGACCAAGTCTATAGTTTTGTAATAGAGAGAGTTTGCCTCAAGAAGGTGCTGCATTTCTAGCTGCCACTAACTATTTAAATAAGTTGAAAGTTATAAAATAAAAATCTTATTTATAGTTTGTCTTCAAAAAGACAATCACATCAAATACACAAGTCTACGATGTACAATAATTATCAAGATGTAACTAAATATCTTAAAATCACTTCTACTTCTATAGAGATTTTTTTTTGTTTATATATCACTTAATAACTTTTAATCTAACCATCTAATTAGATTCAAACTTTTTTACAAGTTATCCTGTAGTTTTAACTATTTTTATAAAAATATTTAATTATAAATTTATTATAAATCTTTGGATATTGTCTAATTTCAAACAAGTATTAAATATATCAATTTTTAGGCTTATAAGCACTAATTCCATCATATCTCAAAAATCCAATACGCAAATTCCATGAATTTTTCTTATACAACTTCTTAACATAATTATCTATACTTTTGAAAATTTTAAGTCAAAAATTCATCCAAAAATTCAAGATATGGTTCAAATAGAAACCTCAATAAAAAAACATTCACTTATAAATTCCAATTTTTAAGCACTAATTACTAATAGCTCTTTCTTCCTAATACTAGATTGGAAAGCATCAATTTTTTCATATAAAATGTAGTTCTTTAAGTCAGCTTTTAAACATTATTTTTTGATTCCTAAATACCTTCCTACAACTTTTTATAATTATTGAGGACTTTGGAACTTCTTTTAAATAAAACATTTGAAACACTATTATTATATAACATGAATTCTTACTTGAAAATGTATTGAATACCTAATTGTGGAAGGTAAATAGAAAATACGACAAGATTCCATCATATCTAATAAAATTTTAATTAAATTTAATTAATCTTTAATAATCCTAATCAAACTTTAATCAATCTAAAAAAATACAAAAGAAAGACGAAGAAGTCATTAATTAATCTAAATTAAATAAATAAAGAAATTTGAAATATATATATATATATATATATATATATATATATATAAATAAATAAAATTCTTATAAAATAATAATAATCTCTAAAAAAAAATTAAAAATAAATATTTTTAAAGAAATAATAAAAAATATTTTTAAAATAGTAAAAACAGAAATTTTAAATGAATCCTAAGTAAATCTTAGATGAATCCTAATTAATTCTTAATGTAGCCGTAATCAAATCCAAATAAAACTTTAACAATCCTAAACAAATCCTAGATAGGAAAGAAATGTAAATAAAGAGATTATTATTAGATAGCAAAAAATCCTAAATAAAGAGATTATTATAAGCATATATTTAGCTTATCTAAAAAATTTATTTTTAAAGTCAATTGAAAGTTTAAGATTTAAATTTCATGATTTATAAGCTAAAATAACGTAGTTATTTTCAATTTTTGACATTCTTATTTTGACTTAACTTATTATGAATTCCATCAAGTTTAGGATTTAGGATTTAGGATAATATAGATGTCTTAATTTTTTGACGCCTTTATTTCTAAATTTTAACTTTTTCTATTTCTTTTCTTTTTCTATTTTTAATTTTAAAAATAAATAAGATTTTATAAGTTTTGATTTGATCTACACCTCTTCTTTAAAGATTAAAGTTTAGAATTTTAAAGTTTAGGATTTAGAATTACATGTGTATGACTAATGTTTTTACTTTCTTATTTTTTTTTTATTTTGATTTGATCTATTCTTAGTTTTTGTTGTCTAAAATTTCAATGGTATAAATAACTTGTTGTATAAATTCTTAGTTTGCAAGATATAACATCTTTGACTTATAATTTTGAATTTTGAATTTTTTTCATAGAAGGAATTTTTTTAAATTTGAAAATACCACTATGTCCAATTGAAGGTTGTCCATTCTAAATATGTCATTGATTTTTTTTTAAAAGTATGTAGATTTGTAGATATTGAGTATTTGATTATTTTGAATTTTAAATTGACTTTGTGTATGGATAGAATATTATAAGTTTTGATATCATCTAGTTTCTATCTTGGTGGTTTAAAAATTTGGTGGTGGATTTAGAATGCTCTATAAGTATTTTAATTTTTAGATTTAGGATTTTTGACTTGGTATGTTTTTCTATTAATTTTTTTTGCCTTGACTTTTTGAAATTTAGAATTGAACTACCCTCCTAATTATGATGCTTTATGATTCTAATAGTATGTTTAGAATCTTTAGAAAGTCTATATTTTAGAGGATATGAGATTTCAAAATTACCAAACAATCATTTTTAGAATATAATGGAAAATTAAAAAATTAAAAAGACTTGTTTTACTATTACATGAAATTAGTAGCTCACATAAGTATATATGTATTTTTTGGTTGCAAAATGTCATAATTAAACTACTTTTTAAATATATTACATGTTATTGTGTGGTAATACTCAATTTGTTGTTGTTTTTGTTTTTTCTTTTCTTTTCTTTTTTCTCCTCTACTAACTTAGCTCTTTATAGGATATTTTTTATAGCATTTATGAATTTTCTACTATTCAAAACCTACAAGTAACAAATCAGAATCTACAAGTAATAAACAAGTAACTTTAATAATGACTGGATTGCTTCCAAAAATGAAAATATCCCAAAAATTGCAAACATTAACTTCTTTCTGTTCTATAAAAACAGTTGTATTACTTGGTCTTGTCATACACCATGTTTACCTTATTTATAGGTTATTCAACACTTCCAATGTTCTTTGAACTTTTGCAACAAAGGAAGCAAACAACAAAAGCCGTTTATCGTTGAATGTGGCTGACAATTTGAAGGCACTTAGCCATTACTCTGGTATTTGTTTAATATGTCTCAGGTTGGAATTTTCATGTTTAAGACGCATCAACGAAATGAAGACCGTCGACACAATTGAGATTTTATCCGTCCTTGATCAACGTGAATGTGAAAATGTGGCCTTATCGGTGAAGCTCTGATAGTTTTGGTTGTGCAGAATGTGCTGCATCAGCATGAGCAAATAAATAGGGGGTCCACTTAGTAGACACTTCGGAGCTCTGGGCTTACTATGTTAATAGTGGGGGATGTTAACCTTGTTATTTCAAGATTAATCTCGCGGCCAATCTCACCTGATTTTTGCCTCTAATGAAATGGAGCACACCCAATCATTGGAAGTAAACAATTGCTTGCGTCCATGAGCAGAGATAGGAAAGAGCGATGCGGTTACGACCATTTTAATTACAAGCTTCCTAAAGAGAGATAAGCAGGAATGACGAGACGTTGTCTTGCTCACCATATAACCTTCAGGAAGGTTGGATCCATTTCAGTAAACACTAGTCAAAATACCAGCTTTACTTTCGCCAGCAGAAGCAGGAGAGTTGTGTATATAGTTTACTATGATTCTAGCGTTGGTTAAAACAACCTTCGGCATAGTGTGACACCATCACTAATAGGTACCTGGCTGATTTGAATCCGGGGATCCTTGGCCAGGAAGCTGTTCAACTCTAGGATGAAAGGCTTGTAGTAATGGAGATACTTGGGAAGAGGATCGTCGGCGCCAGCAACAAGCGCCCCATTCCAGAGCGTGTTGTCGTAGCCGATCAGTCCTCCCACCCTCACCAACTTCATGAGCTTCTTGTGGTAGTTCAGATAGTTGTCTTTGTCCGCGTCTACGAAGATGAAGTCGAAAGAATCGTGATTCTTGTCCTGCCAATTCCAAGTTTGCAATCTGATGAGTTGGCCTCACATAGACAGGTCAATAACTGTTTTTCTTTCCACACCCTGTACAGCTTCTTACACTTCCTTGTAATAGTGGGTGTTGGTTTCCAACAGTAAGATTCAACTTTTGGACGGTTTTCAGGCTTTTTCTCTGGCAGGTGGAGGAAGCTGTCACCTCAACATGTTCCCGTCACTGTGGCAATGCAATGACAAAGATGTAAAAATTAGGGTTCGAGATACACTGATTTTACATCTTGTAGGAGAACTTCAATGCTGTCCATTGCAGGTCCGTCCCGGAAGTCGATCTTGTGAGCAACGCCCGCCTTTTGAATTACCGGCGCTCCAATGTCATACCACTCCTTGCTGATGTCCAGCGCAATCACCTGCACCGTCGAAAGTTCTCGACGTCAATAATTGAACCCATCGTCTTCGTTGGACTGAACATTCTGGACAAAATGATTCCTGGAGCACAGAGTTGTCTTGGACGAGATTTCACCTTGCCATCCGGCGGTAATGCAAGGGCGGTGCAAAGAAGCGAATAGCCTGTGTATACACCGATCTCCAGAGTGCGCTTCGCATTCATGAGCCGAAGGAGAAGCATCAGGAACTGGCCCTCATCGGGAGGTGTGGCCATCATATTCCTGCAAACAATTGTAAACATTCCCGTTTGAACAAAATTCATTTTCTAATACTTCCCTTCAATAGTTTGAGCCAGAATATAAAACTCATCAGTGTCTCGGTACCAAGAGTGCCGCTCGGTGAGTTGTCGGAGCTCCTTAAGCTCGCCGGCTTCACGAGGATACACGCTGGTGTCCAGAATGTACTGCAACAAAGAGGCCAATACCGCAACAATCAGGTTTCCACTAGCTGCAGGAAACAGCTCAACTCTGGCAGTTCATCCAGCTCAATTGCTTGTGGTTCGATTAACGATATTGATGTGCACCTTGTAAAGAGCGCTGCTGCGAAGGAGAGTCTTATGACCAGTCTCTACGTGCCGTCCTTTCACCTGTGTCGCTACTTCTTCCACCTCTTCGACGTCCTCCAGGTCCAGCCCCATCTCTCGAAAAGGCTGCTTCTCAATTTCTCCGTTTCCAGCGATCACCATCCCTGTTTTTCTTAATGATAGCCTCTGGATCTTGTCCAAATTTTCAGAATGGTGGCGAGAAATTCAAGTCTATTTCCAATCAATAGTGGTAAACAGCTAGCTTGGCAGCGGGTTTCTTGGCTTCTGAACATTTTCCTTTGCCTGGTTATAAATAAAGTAGAGAAAGGCACGCCAAAAAAGCATGCCCAACCAGTCCCTGCCTAACAAAAACCAAACCCCGGCATGCTTTTCTTACCACCCCTCATAAAATCAGTCTCACTGACCAATAATGTCGTTAACCTCACTAGTCAAACAATAGGAAACAGCAACGCACCTCCACGTTGCCTTGATACTATCCCACATAAGTAGACTTGAACGTTAGTCTTTCCACTGCAACTGTCCTAATTCAATCAATAGACAGTCACCTGACCACTTTCTGTAGGCAGGAACGCAATAACAACGTCACAAATATCCTCTGAAAATGTCTACCTCGTAGCCAGCGGTTCAAAAAAGCTTGGAACAAAAAGAACAATCCGAAGCTTGGAAAAAATTCAGGTAGGTTGTTACACAGAACTAAAATTGATTGCCCATTTTAAAAAAATCAAGTGTACAAGTACTGCGCTTTACGCACATTAAACAAAAGTACAGTAAAAGTGGACATCTGCTGTCAAATGTACGCAAATTCCGTTAGGAACCAGCCAGTAAACTGGTCCTGAGGGGTCTATTGTACAAGAGCTCTGATTAACAAGTAGAAAGAAGGCAAGCACGACGCTTTGCATCGCCTCTCATTCTAAGCTGTCAATGCCCTCGCATGATTCCATGGATGTATCCGCCTGCCATCACCAACGAGTACAAGGAGACGACTCCTGCAGGGAAAACCTTTCCAGACTCCTGATACCGAGAGCCCATGACGAACAACAGGAGGCCTGATATTCCTGCGAAGGGAAGTGGAATGAACATCGGTTAATTGAGATAAACTTCCGGTTATTGCACTCCTGCAATTGAACACTAATAAGAACGAATATCATAAGACAAGGTTGCCAGTTGCGAGAACTTACCGAGACCGATGACTGAAGACATGATAGGTTTCGTCGGCAGATTCATGAAGACGTAATATAGGATAAGGGCTGATCCTCCACCAGCCATCAGTGAGTTATTGCTGCCAGATTTGGCATATCCCATAATTCCTCCAACTGCAACCATTCAAACCAATCAACACGAGTATTAGAAGCGCAAATCCATCATACTTTTACGTTGCAATCGAGATACAATCAACGAACTACAAAAAGAATATCATACGACCACTCAGACGAGAAACAAGGACTGATTTCTGCTGCAAGCCACAATAAATCCTTCTCAGAGTAATGTAAGATGGGTCCTAACGATTAGAATGGTAAAAATGGTTGATCCTCCACAATACACAGAAACTAGTCAACATTTGCCTGACACTGCTAAAAATTGGTTATAATGTAGGTTTCAGCTCCACGCCCTTCCCAGCTATGTCCGATGAGATATAAGCTCACCTCTGACGCGCACACTTAAAATACCTAAACCTTGGCCATAGATTCAGAGTACCATCTTCATATTTGGTGCTTGTCATCACCGACGATGTATACAGCAGCATCAATTTAGGTCATGCCAGTAAGTAGGAAAACGAGCTACTCACCATCTTCGTTTCGCGGGACAAAATTGGAGTTACCCAGACGATAGAACATGACTCACTAATCAGAGATGCTTGATTCTACAATCAGATTTAATAGATCGAATCGAATATCGAAAGCTGATTGACAAGTGATGAAGAGTAGAGAGAAAATGTTGAGAATCGAGCACCTCCCACTAGAATCGCATACGCTAACGTCAACTTCTGCGACAAAGATAATCCAGCCAGCTTCTTCTTGGCGCCCTCTCCGTCAGCTCCGTCATCGCCATCCCCACGGCCTCCACTGCCACCGCTGCCACCATCGCCATCTCCTCCATCCCCTCCTCCCACTGCGTCTTTCTCGGCTTTCTTAATATCCTCAAACGTGGCTCCTGAATCTCCCAGCTCGGCCTTACTTGGCCCGTATGCATGTGGGGCACCGTAAGCTCTGGGCGTTTGAAAGTTCACGGGCGCTGAGTAGTCCGCAGGCGAACGATAATTCCACTGGAAATCGGGCCTGCTCTTGTCACCGAAACTGGGATTGGGAATCGTCTCCGCCGGCCGCGACCCTCCGGAGGGATTCTTCACAGCACCAGGCGTCTGGTAAGGGAAAGGCGCGCCGTAGCTCGGTATGCCATAGCTGGGATGTGAGGCCACTACGCCGGAGCTCTTCCGGCTCCGCAACCCAATTCTCTTACCCGAAAGCGTTGATGAAAGAGAGGGCAAAAACAAAGCTTGAGGACTTAATCCGACACCAGATGCAAGTGGGACAAACGAAGACGAGGGGAGCGTAACAGCTGCTGTAGTTGCGAGCGCCATCACCATCTACCTCGCAAATCAATCCAAGCAATCAATTCGTGACCAGCAATCTAATTTGTGTAGCCAAGCTTCGTACAAAACCGAACGAAACCAGAGCTTAAAGTTGCAGGGAACCAGGACACAACCAATCACCCCCGAAGAATCCGAATGATGCTGTTGCTCGACTGAGCAAAGCTTTTTGCAGCTTGCATGGATAGATAAACCAAAAAGATGTCGGACGGAGGAGGTGGCGATCGGGGTGATCCAAAGCTACTCCAAGTGGCTGGATGAGACGCGTCAACACCCACAACGAAAAGTGGGTGCGGATCCGGATTTGTAGACAGCCGTCAACAGTTGATGCTTCTGCTTTTTACCGTTCCGAAGGCCTCGGAAATCATTGGCCCATGTTACTGGTTGCGACGGTGCGGAAAGTCGCTGGTAAGGTCGACTTACTGATGTGTTAGCATGATCGACACATTTTAGTTCGGATAAGTTCAGAATCCTTAACAAGTACGTGTTTCATTCTTCAAAATATCTGACAACCTGTTAGTTCGACAGGTAATCTTTACATTTGCGTCGACCCGGGGAGGTATACACTCGTAAGTCAGTGAAAATCTACATTGCTTCAATGTTGGAACGACCAGTAGAGTTGAGGGTGGACAGGATCAGGGTCGATTTAAAAGGAGACTCAGTCTAGATGGAAAGTGGGAAGAATGACGATCAATTGACCCATTAAACTTCAAGGTACTTGCATCGCTGTCAGTGTTTGAGTTAATATATCCTCCGCGATTATTGATATCTACAACATACTCAATACGTAAGTTTCCCATCTTTAGCACCAACCCACACATGGGACCCTTTCCAACCCTTGCAATTATTCTATCAGGATCGTTACAAAGTGCTCAATTTTTTTGTAAATTGGTCAGCAAAGCGTATCTACCCATTCAGGAGTGCGCATCTGCTTATAATCCGACAGTACGTTGCGTTCACTACATTGCAAGATGCAACCACAGCGATATTCTAGCCGATAGTTACTGCTAACACAAAACATGAGCACGGTTGATGACTGGCTTCTACACCTAATTGAAACGACTGAAAAGAGTAAGATTCCGATATGGTGACCGCGAAAATCCGTTTTAGGACCGAAAATTCACGAAGTCTTCCATATCTAGTGTGCAGGGCAAAAGAAGAAAGATGATCTTTTGGTGGTGCTTTAGTTAGCTGAGGTATGTATCCAATTCTCACAAGCTTATGCCTATTAAACAAGGGCGCCTAAGCTCCCAATGATGACTCGAAACCTGGATGAACCTGCGTGAAAATAGAATAAGTTCCCTTGTGAATTAGACTAAACTTCCTAAGCATTTATGGCGAGTATTGTACCACGAAACTGTACCCAACTGCAATGAGAATCAAAATCGTGAGGAAAAGAGCATCAATCTGCATACTCGATAGCCACAAAGACAAGTTTCAGAGGATTTGTGTGCACCATTTCCTTCGTGAGTGGCACATTTACATTAAATCAGTCCAACTGGCCTTCTTCCCAGCTCCACTTCGGAAACTGACATTAAAAAGCAGTCAAACATAGGATGGACTAAGAAACAGCTGCTTCTACAGTAGGTTTTCCAAGACATGGAAAGTTATGGGCACGATCGCTTGGTCATTACTAGACATAGCGAATTACATTTTGATGTCTTAGTGCAGATGGCTTTCGAGTGCCCTTATTTCTGAAGTTCCAAAACCCTTCATCTTAGCGTGTACACAACTTCGATTATGGTACCAACCCGGAAGTGCAACACACTCCATGTCGAGAGCGTCAGGTTAAAGTCGCTGCTAACCAACCACGCCAAGTCGGGAGCGCACACGGTAGTGTTCTGGTAGACGGTCATGTCGCGAATACTCACGGTCTGTAGCGAAATGCCTGGCGCTCTGTGGCATCTATCTGTAACAACTAATGCCACAATAAGACAACAGACAATGATTGAAAACAAGAAATAACTTATATTACATCCAAAGTCGAGACATCGTGTTTGACGAGACGGCTGGAAAGTGACGGTAACGACATAAGTTTGGTCTCCTACACAAGTCTGCGTTGTTGCAACTATCTCCGGAGACTTCATTGTGCAATAAATGGTCAGAACTTTGGAAAGTATGTGCAAAAATTTGTTGCAAATTATCGTTGCTTAGGCCTGCAAGTGTTAGCCAGTGAATTAAGGAAGCAATTCAAAGGCAAAGTATATGATTTGTGCTCGACTTAAACCATGTTCGTGAAACCGGGAATTGGCAAGCTTCAGAATCGGGGGGTTGGATTCAGTCGGTATCGACTGTTGTTGACAAACGTAATACAGAAGCATTAGGATCGACAACTGGAATCTAAGCAGCTTTTGTGCAGGATTCCGTCTCCTGGAATGGCTTGAAATGAGCTTGCTTCAGTCGGGATTATTTGACTTTACAGTCCTATGATTATTTCTGTGATTATTTCAATGACTATTTCTGGGCTGCATGAAAGTATTCCAGTCAAGTTCAATGTACTCTAGTGTGTTCGTTGTTTAAAATTTTGCAATGTAGCCCAGAGTCAATTTCAATGGCTTCATTCTTCGGTGGACTGCCTTCTTGGATTGAGAGCTAGCATTTGTACACTAAAATGAAGTCAGCTGCAAACGGCATATTCAGACATCACCACTACCACTGTAGTATCCTCAGAATTTGCTAACTATGTGTTGACACATTTGCAACACCAGAGACTTCGCCTCCATGATATAGGTTGTATTACATTGCCGCCCACCATCTAATCCCAAGATTTCATATTTCAAGAAGGCCCCGTTCAATTCCAACCCTTCGCACCAAACCCAAAAATGAAACAATACAATTACAGAATAAAAACAAGCTGGAGTCACAGGATTGGTCAATTACGGTCATGTACAATACGGAAACACAAGATAGCTCCTCCACCTGACCCAGAATGCACTCTATTCATCGTTACGCTCCTGAAGAGTTCTGTTTCCTCTGCTCAGAAGCAGCTAACTCCACGAAAGACATGAGAAGAAACCCAAAGGCTCTCACAAACAAAATCAAGATAAATGATATGCAGCTTAGCTTAAAGCCTTGGGAACACCATAAACAAATAAATGAAATTCTAGAGAGCACCATTGGGATAATGTTCCGAGCAACACGACATCAAATGGCAGCCTACCTCATAAGAGTGGACGTGGAGGGCCATTACAATTATCATTACCTCCGACAAAACTATTTGTTGTTTGATGAGTAGCATCACAACGAAGTTTATTACCAAATAATTTTGAAACGGCAGTACAGTGCTCTTCAAATGCTCTCAAGTGACAAACCGTGTATTTAAAAGGCTACAATAAAGAAGTTTCAAAATTTAGCAACCGCTAACAAGGTATCTTGCACAGAGCTGCACTATTCCTAGACCATTCAATTGAATCCATAGGCTTAGCCAAGGAGCTTGGAAATAACGCCAGCACCGACTGTCCTTCCTCCTTCTCGAAGAGCAAAGCGTTGTCCTGCAAATAGAGCCATGCATCAGAAAATGAAGAGTTCGAGGAGGATAACGTGAAGCAAGGCTATTTCATAATTTTCCCGTCTACTCATCCTCGTAGCCTACTGGCAAACACTGAAAAAATACGCCTAAATAACTCGATTATACCATTTTATCACTGGTTTTTTTCAGAAGTCAAATGGTATTGAATAGAAAAACGAAAACAAAACAAAACTAATGAGCTGAGTGTATGCTTCATAAATTGTGCAGATAGTAAGTTACCAAGTTCAAGGGGGCAAGGAATAATTAGTTCAAATTGGGCAGTCAAGTTGTCTCCAGGCATGACCATCTTGATGTGTTCTGGAAGCTCAACTTTTCCAGTTACATCTGCAGTACGCAAGTAGAATTGGGGTCGGTAGTTGGAGAAGAAGGCAGTATGTCGGCCTCCCTCTTCCTTGGTAAGAATGTAAACCTCTGCTTCGAACTTGGTGTTAGTCTTGACAGTACCAGGCTTGCAAATGACCTGCACCAGCAGTACAAGAAATAAGGAGGGTTAGTAAATGAAGCCACAAACAAAGATCTCACCAAAGAGGAATGTTCAGGTCTGCCAACAGTTGCAAAGATTGTTAAAACAACTTTAAAGATTTGATTGTTGTACATCACAGAAAATGTCCACCTGTGACATTGGTAAAAGAAATGCTTCACCTGTCCACGCTGCACTTCGTCTCTCTTAAGACCACGAATCAGAAGACCCACGTTATCTCCTGCCTGTATCAACAAAACAGTTGGATAAGATTAGTTGTTTGACAACGTGAGCCTATCAGAATATATGTTTGTGCCAATGAAATCAGATGTTCAAAAATAAGATTCTTGTTAACCGATCTGAAGATATTTAGACCGAAACGAAAAGAGTAAATGACGAAAAAACCCCAGTAACAAGATCACGAGGACGCCTGAAACCTTCAACCCGCAAGTCATGTTCACATATTTGGGTATATCCATTTCATCTCAAGTAACATCCGAGACATAGCTCCAAATCAGTGTAAACAAATACCTGGCCTTGATCCAATTGCTTCTTGAACATCTCCACACCAGTGACAGTTGTCTTAAGATTGGGACCCTGCGACAAATGAAGTCACAAAAAATGTTCATTGGCAAAGCTTGGAAGAGTGGAACAAAGAAATCGGTTCGCTTATGCAAATGCAAACGGAAGAAGTTCGAAAAGTATTCCGTACCGTGCGTAGTCCAACAACCTCCACCTCCTCACCAATTTTAACAACACCTTGCTCCACACGTCCAGTCACTACAGTTCCACGACCCTGATCATAGAAATAAACAATGTCAATAGATAGATAATCTAATATGTGGCAAAGGGCATCATTAATACTTACATATATAAGGTGCTACATGTATACATCGGCGCTTACTTACCAGAGATGCAACTTCAACTGAAAGTCATGGATACACGTTTTTCTTTGATGATCAAGATGAACAACGAAATCACCAAGAACCGAAGCTTAGTCTAAGATCAAAGACATCGAACATAATCTCGCCTGAATAGAGAAAACGTCCTCAATTGGCATGAGAAAGGGTTTGTCGAGGTTGCGCTTGGGCTCAGGGATGTATGAGTCTACAGCCTCCATCAACTTTAAAATTGCATTCTTCCCAAGCTCTGGGTTAGTTCCCTGCAATGCGGCGAGAGCAGAGCCTCGGACGATAGGGATATCATCTCCTGGAAACTTATAAAATGAAAGTAACTCTGCAAAAATAGTTATTGATCAGAAATTTTTCAACATCTGAAGAACAAAGTTTTCAGCAAATTTCCCTGAATAACTTGAGCCAGAGCAAAAAGTTCACCTCGCAACTCCATCTCCACAAGCTCCAACAACTCTTCATCTTCGACAACGTCCACTTTGTTCAAGAAAACCACCAATGATGGAACTCCGACCTGTCGCAGTTGCAACCCACGTCAGAATTTAGGACCTTACACATTAAACTCCTTTGCGAGGTACAGGAGTGGGTGATACTTTGATCCAAAAAAGACACGTGTTAATGCGATCACAACCCCTTGAAGATTGGGCTCCAGAGGATCTACTAACCTGCCGAGCTAACAGGATATGCTCTTTAGTCTGAGGCATAGGGCCATCTGGTGCTGATACAACTAGAATACCACCATCCATTTGTGCAGCACCAGTAATCATATTCTGCAAACATAAACCTAGAGATTAAGTATCATCTTCTTCGAGAAATCCATCAAAGACAATTAGAGTGGTTTCGGTCCAGATAAGTGACCATAGAAAGGGAAAAGAAATGCTAGGACTAGTAAAATAGGATCATGAAATATACCTTCACATAATCAGCATGTCCTGGACAGTCAACATGAGCGTAATGTCGGTTTTCAGTTTCATACTCAACATGTGCCTGCAAAACATACGCAAAATTTCTTCATGAGAAATGGAATTATATTTATAAAGGTCTTGGTATTCTCAGTTACAACATGCATTAGTAATCAGGTTGAGCATTCTGTGTCCTTGAAAGGAATTATTTCGTCCCAAACAGTTGTAACAAAAGAATATAGCAAGTTGAACATAGCCCCAGCAGAGCAATAATGAAAAAATAGCTTACTGTAGCAATGGTGATACCACGCTGTTTTTCCTCTGGAGCTTTATCGATCTCGTCAAATGCGATTGATTTAGCCATACCTTCATCAGCCAAAACCTGCCAGAGGAAATCGCGATTAAAGGATAAATGCATAATTCTCAAAGAATAGAATTGAAATATATCAATGTAAAAAAGTAAAGGAGAAACTTGTGACAATTCGATTAAATTCAACCAAAAACTGGGAATACCACAACGCTACAGCTAGCAATCAGATGATCTTTCTAGTGAACTCAAAAACCAGAAATTACTGGTCAGAGGCAAACCTTGGTGATTGCTGCAGTAAGAGTAGTCTTTCCATGATCCACGTGTCCAATTGTTCCAATGTTCATGTGCGGCTTACTGCAAAAATCTCAACACAATTCAGCGGTTAAAATCTATCATGGCCTGAATTATATATTCAACAGCAATTTACTTCATAAAATGTCCATACTACTCACTAAAAAAACTAGAAACGTTTCCACAATGGATTGTGCTCGTCTCCTACCAAAAGGCCTGATTGCCACCCACCATCAACTACTGACGTTTCTGTTAATTCAAACGGAAATATTTCCAATACATTAAATACACGACTTTGACAATGACCTAATGAATGAAACCGCATTTGTACGAATAATAGGAAGATCAAAGCATTCCATCATTACACAAAAGGGTTCCCAGAGTTTCACTTCAGAAGGTTCGAACGCCACAGTGTATCATCTAGAACCCTAGTAAACCCTGCCGCAGTAAAACATAAGTGACCGTACGCTTGCACATACACGCCACTAAAGGACTATTTTTGCAAGAGAGGGTAATTTCACAAAACCCTTTCCGAACCCTACCTACCCGGAAGCCAAAAAGCCATCCCATATGTCATTCATGTTTTCTGCATGAATCCAAAGTATCCAACAAGCGCCAAATTACAATTCTCCTGCTTAAATGACCTCTTCGAATGGATTCTTAGTATTTACAGAATCAAAGCGATTCATGGTTTCACAATACCTAAAGTCTCACGCATATCTAAGGATCTAGCGAACGGTAAGTTACGAGAGAAAATTCAACATAAGAAAATGCAATGGCGTTGGGAGATTCTATTTACACTCACTTTCGGTTGAAGGTGGCCATCGTTCGAACGGACACCAGCCCTTTCAAGAAATTCCTCCATAGGGTCAGCTCCTGTGACCTCGCAGACGATTCGAACGCATTGCGGCGACTCTCGATGGCGCTTGATGATGCAAGTCCGCACGAGTGGTACGTGCAGACAGAGGATTGTGGCAACACAAACTTCAGCAACGACTGCGAGCGCCGCGCCCGCGCTATCGCCGCTGCCATGGCCGTTCGCACACACCTAATCTAACAGTAAGGCACAACTCGAGGCACCCACAAACCCTGTGAACCCACCTCCCGAACACAAACCAGCGATCGATCGATCACACCCTCTGCGAAGATCCGATTCCAAGATTTTTCGAGCTAGTGCACCGATCTGGCCCCAGCCTGGAGCGACTCTACCGAAGAAAAGTGCCGAACCTTAAACCCTAAACCCCACCCTGGCTGGCATACTTACAGTTAGACTGCCTGGTTTCCATGTGTCCACCTGTCTTGCTGGTAACCTTTCCCCATTACTTTAAAGCATATTCCGATGACTCCTATCGTCTTCTCTCCTGTAGAATTATTCGGAAGATTGAAGTGATAATTCTGTGAGTCCAAACTTAGCGAGATTTCAGCACATTCTAATTGTGTGTTTACATTTAACATCTTGTTATTGCGAAGGTTCTATTACAGGTCAATTCATGGGTTAGCTATCTTATTTTCTTCCGTTCCTTTTTTCGGTAACCTCAATGCTCTACTTTTAATCAGAACCCAAATTTGGATGCATTTAGTTGCCACAATGAGTCGTTGAATAGAAGGCCTCCCTTGAATCGGCACAAAACTGCTTGCATTCGAGGTATTCCAGGTCATGCGTCATTGTTGGAACAATGCAACAGATAATACTCAGTTCCCCTTCCAAGCAATCAGTCCTGATCAAGGGCGTGTTTGAGGAATTGCAATTTCGAGTTCCCCTTCCAAGCAATCAGTCCTGATCAAGGGCGTGTTTGAGGTATTGCAATTTCAGATTGACATTGGTTGGGCCCCCGAAAGGGCATTCCAAAAATATTGATATGCCGGTACGTGTACCCAGCGTACGGTATTCTTTAGTAAAAGGCGAAAGAATAGTTCGCTCTGAGCTGAGCACCCGGTTAGATGTTAACAATGAATGCAACTGTGTACTAATGTGATCCAAAGGACTCAGTGTAACCGAATGATATGGGATAAATGAGAACTGGGCATGATATTGACATGCGAGATAGGTGTGTATAGATGATATGTAAAGAGGAAAACGGAGCTTTGAAGAACCACAGAGCTCGCCTGTGTGTTCTAGCAATGGCTTGTCGATTGCTAGATCTCAATGAGCATCGTCACCACCATCTGATCTGGTTGCAGAAGCTCCTTGTGATGATGGTTCCGGCACGCCACTGGGAATGGCACAAACGCCGAAAGCAAAACGTGTTTGGAAACGACACAGACGAAGAAACTTGGCCCTCGACCCACAAGGCATCTATTGTGTGGTTCCTACTATTCCTCGACGTTCACAGGTTCCATGATTCACAAGACTACCTCAGATCAAAAGATTTTTCTGTCGATTTCAGTTTCAATTGAAATATGGAAACTGTGATGAGGGATCTAAACATAAGCTTGAAGTTTGAAGAAAAAAACTTAAGAACGTTTGAAGATTATCCATTTGTTGCAAATATCAAGAAGCCATTGAGTTTTAGTCACTCTGCATTGCAAGATGATATATAGGAGAATGTTAAATAGACCCAGGATTTTACTAATTTAATCCACCCATCATGACAAAAAAAAATGACCTCCATTCATTTCTCCACTCTTGTATCCAAAACCAATGAAAACTAACTATATTCTTCATGATTACCATATTCATGGGTAAATTTAATAAAAACTTGGGTCTATTTAACATTCCTGTATATGTAAATATAAACATACGTATAATTTTGTTTCCAATAATCAACACATGTCTACAAAAATGTATTTATTTTCTTTACCAAGTATCTTTACCAATCTTTACCAAAGATGTGAAACACAACGGATGAGCGCTTTCATCGACGATGAGAAAGACGGTGGTTAGGAGTTACGGCTATGCTGGAGAGTGCCCGCGGCTCGAACGAACAAACGAACGGACGGACGGACGGACGGACGGACGGACGAACACTGGACACACATACACGCACGCACACAGACAGACAGACCTACCGATGCATCATCGGGGTGGAATTTCGTCGACGGGGATGTCCCCTAGCTCAGGATCGAATGCGAGTGTGTACTCACTCGTAGCACACGATCGCATGCTCCGATGTTGGTCCTGCTGTGGAATCTAGCGAAAGTTAGCCCGCTGCGTGCATTTCGTCTCGTTGCCTGACTTGTATTCTTCTTTGCACTGTTTTATTCGGCAATTGGAGTCGTGGATGCTCCAATTTTGAGCCGATGTCTGCGATTCTTGTGTGGTTTCTGTTCCTCGGCAATCTGGCTGCAGAGAAGGTCTTTCTGGGACGGGATTGTGCGTTACTCTCTGGATTTTCGTCTGTTGAGCTCGCTTTGTAGCTCAATTGACTTCGTCCCATCACTTGTTGGACACCGATTCTGGGAATTCGTGCGTTAATGCTGCCCTACAGCTGTGTATCCAGCTTGCTTTTGCTTGTTCTAGTTTCAGCTTGTTTTATTCTTGCAGTCGTGAGGATCGTCGTTGCGGGTGGGCGGAAGAATATGATCTGGATGTTCTGGGATGTGCAGTCTCACAAGTTTTTGATTGTTGCCGCAGTTTCTTGTTTTAGGCTGGCTTTTTGCATGTTTAGGTTTGTTTCGGTGAAATTAATTTCTGCTGCTTTCTTTTGGCAGCTTTCTGGGATCTTGGGCGACTGGACGAGCATCCACGATGATATCCTGTGAAAGAGTGCATAGCTCAAGATCAAGTAACTTGGGCAATCAGCGAGTCACTGCAGGCTCAAGATTAGTAAAGTGAGTTGTACTGCAATACAAGCTCCCATCGAGCATACCTTAACGGAAGAGCGTGGGAGTGGATTTCACAATGTAAATAATTTTTGTGTTGGGGTATTGTCGACTTCGAGGGTTTTAGCAACTGTATAACCATATTATCAATCCAGTGGGAATTCGCAGATTTTATCCACAGTTGATTATCTGAAGTGAAAATGCTAAATCTCTGGAGCAGGTTACTTGCGTTACAACACGCTGAATCGGATCCACAGCTCACACTGGTGTTTGAAGCATTGCACGAGTTAATAGAGGTTGAGAACGGTAGCACAAGGATGTAAACTGGGAGCATTGGATTTGCCTGCAGTGACTAGAGTATAATCATGGTCTCTACCTGAGCTTATGTACCCTGCTAGAGTATCTCGCAAGAGGATTGTCACGAACATATTTATCGCATGCTTCAAGCATTGCGCTCAGCAATGGGAAGTTGAGATACAATCCTTTATAAGTTTGTGAAGCTCAGACGAACGAATAAGGAGATGCCGTGACGTTGCAACAGAAGATTTTGGAGGATGGAGGAGGTTGTGGCGACGCTCTTAGAAGAGGACGAGGTGCTGGGGATTGCTCAGAATTCGTATGAATGGGATTTAGGTGGCTGTGGAGGTCGGGAAGATGTGAACCACGAACATTCTCAGGATCTTACAGCTAGCACTAGCAGACGGGAAATAAATAATAATTCTTTGGGTAGCAACGATGGTACGCTGGTTCCTGCAACCAATCTTGAGGCGTTTCTATTCATTCATGTTTGTTCTGATCACGTTCAGTTCTCATGAATATGTTATAGCTTCATTTCGTTGACTCTCTTCTTCCTTAATTTAAGATTATATGGTTAATCTAATGGGATCTTTTCTCATGTGCAGAGGTATTCTGCCACTCCGCTATGTGCTTCGAGGAGAGTGGTAATGATTTTGTAGCAGAAGCCAGTGGGAGGAACAATTCTGAGAGGGTGCATTGCTCCAGAGTAGGTGCTGAGGAGGATGTCGTAGTGGGCTTAAAGAAAGACCATGCGGAGTTGGGTAGGTCTTTTCAAATGGCAGTCAGTGTTCACGACTGGGCTCTAGCCGAGAGTCTCATACCTCTGGCAGTTCCTCATAAGCTCAACGATGGCTTGTGTATCGCCCTGGATTCCATTTGGTTTTTAAGGTGAGGTTGATGTTGTGTAAGATTATTGATCAAATTATAAGTGACCTGAGCTAGAATAAGCGTTGCAAAGTAGGATTGAGAGACTGGATGGTTCAAATGAAGGGAAGTAAGCAGAGACATTTGTGGATTATTTCCAGCACGACACAGGAATTGGCGGCTGCAACACGTTTAATTGAGTGTTTGATGCTTGCTGGGGCTCACGACTTCACACGAGCAGTTCTTCGTACTTCCTTCTTAGCTTCCTGCGTGTCAGCTTGCCGATCACGGACTATGAGCCTGGCAGACACCGTTACTGTAATGGCACAAAGGTAAGATTTTCAATATCTGAATCTAATTAGCTTAGTGTCTGATAAATGTCATGGCTTGACACGTTTCGATTTTGTATTCATGGGCTGGGTAAGGAAGCGGTAAAACTGTCTGCTCGTTTATGCAGGTTAAGAGAGAGACTTCAGGAATGTAATGGTGATGAAACTCCGAAGGATGAAGCTGCAGCCAAAGTTCAGAGGTTCATTGAATGGGCTTTGAAATGCATTGGCTCACAATCACGTGGAAAAGGAGCACACTCTGGATCACCCGGTGACATAAGCATGGCTATTATACACAGTTCCGCTGTAGAATCACGGCTTCAGCTTATGGCGTTCAAGCGACTTTTGGAACTAGCTGGTTCTCGATTGAGTAAAAAGGATTTTACAGAAGCTTTTGACGCAGCATGCTTTCCTCTCACTTTGTTCTCCAGCGCCATTGATCCTGGATGGGCAACTGGCATTGCCGCAAGTGCTATGCAAGGGCTGTTAGGGCTTTTAGTTGAGGGAGGTGCAGATAATGTTAATCAGTGTTTTCTAGAAGCTGCCAGGTTTGGAAGCACAGAACTTGTACGAATATTGCTCCAGGTGATCAATGGACCTTTTATTAGCTGTGAACCTACGACAGAAATTTTGTTTCTGGGCAAATTCCATTAATGCCAAATAGTGTTATTTTTATGCTAATTTCTTTCATGCACACTTAATGATTTGGGGTGACTAAATGATTCAGTACGTAATTGGAGCTGCGAATCTAGTTCTTACTCGCGTAAATAGCTTGAGCAGGATATGGAATCTAACAAAGGTTTGATGTGTGCAGATTGCACAATGGAATGGTGTGGAGTTAGACGTGAACTTAGCGGTGGGATTTGCCTCCCACTACTGTAAAATTGACACCATGGAATGCCTTGTTGAAGATGGTAAAGCGAATTCTTTTTTGGGGCCTCTTATGAGAGGTGCTGAACGGGGTTGCATGGAGGTTAGACTCATCAATCGATTTGTCTTGAAATTATGCTCTACTCATTGGTAGTGAATTCATCTGGAACCATGTGAAGTATGCGTCGCAGAGAAGAGCCATGTCTTTGTTTCTGGTCACTATATTCGTAGTGCTGGGACATAGTGCTTTCAGTTACTCTGTCTTCTGCAAGAGATAGGAATACCCTTCATTTACTTAATGCGCACATTATGATACTAATGAATAGCGCGTCAATGGGTTGCTGTGCAACAGGTCGTTCAATGGTTTGTAGGAAAGGGTTGTAAAGATATGGAGTTGTGTTTAGCGCTTACTGCTGCAGCTTCCAGTAGCCATGTGGATGTTGCTGCCTTTCTCTTAACCCATGTTCCTCATCATGTTTTGCACACTCTCAGCGCCGAAATTCTCAAGGTATTTTTAATATTAAAGATGCCTAATGAGTTTTGGTTACCAAAGTAGAGAATAACTGGTTTTATTGATATGCTTTTACACACGAACATCTAACAAGAGATTTCTGCTTCTTGTCGTAAGTAACATTTCTACAATAAATGTTAGTAACCTTGAACTACTAATATTATCTTATGGAAATCAAAGATGTTCTGAGCAGATCTTACCTGGTTTTCTTGGAGCACAGGCAGCAGGTGAACGGTCTGGTGGATCTCTTGAAGGCATAGCTTTTCTTTTGCAAGCTGATTTCTTAAATAACCCCACCGCGACGTACAGGACTGCCGATAGCATTTCAAAATCGGAAGACGAAGCAATCACCTTGGAGCTACGGACGTTTCTACAAGAAGAATGGTCAGAGGATGCTTTTTTGAAGGGGCGTTTACTTGGCCAAGCTCACCATCTTAACGTCATGCGTGCTCTGAAGCGGGGTTCCTCACCACTTCACTTGCAGGAACTTCCTTTGCAACTGCAAGTCACCGTCGCTTACCTTCCGCTCTACAAAGAATGCATGGCTTCAAGCGGGGTGGTTCTTTCGCAATGGCTTAGAGGCCAGCTTGTTGAGGCAGCTCTGAGGCTGAATGAAGGCGATCTATGCTCATCGGAGGAGCTTTTCATGAAGTGCAGCAAGCATGAGCTTCTCTTAATCCTGGAGTCTCGATTGCCGGGTTTCGTGCTAGCTTCCGAAGGCAAATGAAGACAAATTAAATTCTACACGGTGGCTCGCAGTCATGAATTAATATTCGAAATTTTGAATTGTCATAATGAGTCTCTCTCTCGTCGCCTGAAATAAGAGAGAGCCTTGGTCCTTGAGGAGCAACTTCATCTCCCCTTGTTGGTTATTGGACAGCACAGCCGATGAGAATTATTGTCATTGAAAGCACAGGAAACATGGGTCACGCTTCAGCAAATAAAGTTGACTCTGCTGTAGAGGAAGACGACGGTGATCACGGTCTTTCTGTTCGTTCTCAACTGGATCAAGCTTTAATCCGATACTACGGTTATGTATTGTTGGGAGACTGACGATTGAAATCACAAGTTCGATCTCCATTCCAAGCCGGTCATGGCTCCCTTGAATACTTTGGACTCATTGGTTGGATCCATGCTGATGTGGGGGTCCGTGAAGCCACATTCAATGCTCAAGTTATCAGGTTTAACACGGTTGGCTGCTGTGGATGATGATGAGCTATTTGTAAAGTGCTTGGACTTGGAGCCTAAGAGTGTTCCGAGTTAGATTAAGTGCCCTGAGTGATACTCGTCTTGGATGCAGGCCATTTGATGTCTTCGAGAGCGTTCCAACTTCGTGACATAATCTCTTGTGGCAGTGTGTCTATTAAGAGGGATTGGTGATGGAGTAGGTGCAGGTGTGGTTGCATCCCGCCCCTTCCAAGGCGAAGGCTTGCATTAAAGATGGCCTAGAAGAATTCACCCAGTGGTTGCATGTGGTGCGGTATTCGTTTGTGCGAGAAAAGTATATTGGAGTTGAAATGTACAAAGAATCCATTTTACTGGGCTTGCGCATACAAGAAACTGAAAACGTGAAATAAGGCTGCATGGCATTGAAGTCTGATCATTTTTCACGGTAGGGTTGGTGTGTGTTGTATTCTAGCTTAATGCACTTCGTTTTGTCATCGCTGTTGATTTCACACTTATTCTCAGTAGTAATCAGAGCTAAAGGGTGGTTGTTTTGGTAAAGGCGAAACTGCTCTGCACTAGCATTGTGAAAATCTGATTTTGTGCCACACAATTGATGACATTGCAACACTTGGCATTTTGGAAATTACTGAAGTCTATGATGAGATTGACATCCGCTACGAATCCTTTTGCAGCACCTTGTGTTAGCTGAAAATATATATATATATATATATATATATATACAATGTTGAAAATTATCTAAAAGCTTCAGAGCAAGAGCGTGTAAGCTCCACAATTGTCACTCTCAATTCCTGGATCACCACAGTGTGTCTATTACAGAAACGGTGATAACGCCTATTCAGAAACAGCATCCAAATCGTCAAACATGTAAAATCAGGACAATCAGAGCCAGCGAGGGGCAATAAGCAGAAACAGACAACCGAAAGTGATAAAGAAAGCTAGAAATTAATGCTTGATTTTAAAAAAATGTGACTGGCTCGATCAGTGACAGCATCGTTGAACCTGGCTTCGAACACATTTGCAGGAATCTCAAGCCTGTTTGCTAGAGCAATCAGCCGGTTCACAACGTATTCAAGAGTCTCATGGTTCGTGCTGAGGTTGGAGAACGTGCCGTGCTTTGATCTTCAAGAATTCGCCACCCTAGCCATGGGGCATCGAAGGCGAGATTAAGAAAATTCGACACAGTTTGATAGCAGGACCAGGGAGTAGCAAGAATCATACGGAGCAGGAAAAGGGTGCATGACAATCATGATAGTAGAGCAGTAACGCTCCGCTACGTGGTTGACAATCGGACACCCATACTCGCTGCTCGGATTGTTGTACACGAAACCAACGTAGTGGTCAGGGACTGCAAATTGCGCCCAGCTGCCGCCAAATAATTTAGAGCAACAACAAACCTAACTCAATTGCTCTGTACAACTACCTAGTGAAGGAGGAAGCGTAAAAAGTCATCTTCGGGAACAGAACTGGAGAATTCGATGATTCCAAAGTCTTAAAAGACGTTTCTCATTCAAATTCTAGAACAACTGACATTTTCTAAGCTAACAAACAAACGCGATGAGATGCAAGAAGTCCAGAATCCGAGACCGAGACTCTTACCATCCCCACGGCCGCGAAGTAGCCTTTGATCGCACGTTCTCACAACAACAGATTCCGACAAGTCTTCATTGACAGATGATTTCAGTGAAGAACTCTTTCACACATTGGCAAAGGATGCAATTGTTGCTAGCGAGTGAGGATCTTGTTGTAGAAACCTGCATCATCAAGCTCTCTTTCAACAATTTGCCCGTCTCATGTGTTCTACCAGCAGTTTGTAAATGTAGAATCCGATGCATATGCACCGGTAAGGGACATTTGACGTGAGGATAGGAGATGTTGGGTGAATGCGGTGAATTGGTTTAGGGCTGTGGTGTTTGGGTGATGGAGGTGAGTGGACAGGGAGGGAGTTGAGGTGAAGGGGAAGGAGATGCAAGGCTCATCAGAGTTGGCTGCTGGGGCGTGTCGCGCGTGGTACTGCCTGCAATGGCTGTCACACGAGGCTACGGCATGCCCGCTGCCATGCACTAGACGAGCGCGTCCACTTGCCATCTCGCGTATATGAGAAGGGCAGTGCTTCGTCCTCACAGAGTACAGAACTTTCTGCAATTTCGTCTACCAGATTAGAGGTGAAACTTACAAGGTTTTGTTGATCAACTAGTGCTGGGTTGAAACTGCTACCAGCAAATGTACAGATGACACCGGATGTATCTTTGGAAATCTTTTGATTCCCTTTGTGGCGCTAATTGATAACAAGAGTCCAGGGTTTGAGGTCGATCGGGTGGTTTGGCAGTGTACCAGCGCCGGCAGTGATTGACCGAAATGAGGAAATTAGCGATATCAAACGAAATTTCAAAGACAGCGACAACCAGAGCCAGTGGATCCGCCAGAGATGTCAGTAGGACGGATACTGAACGCAAATCTTGCACATGTCAGAGGGACTGACTGACCGGCCTCAATCTCTCACCAGCTATGGGGCGTCAACTGCCGGGCAGCACGTTGTATCCATCGCGATTATTCAATCCCTAGCGTCACCTGCACTGGGATACCTCAGCAAAGTTTGAACATCTGGCCTACTCGTGCAAAGTCGTTTGAGTTCCTCAGAACAATAAACAGGATTTAGGAAAATTCTATGAGTATTTTGCTTGGATTGAAGAAGATGATGCTGAGAGCCGAGAAAGTTGCTAGTCAATTCATGGTGTACTTCGTCTTGAGTCCACGTTGTGAATTTGTTGTGGGGATGCTGTTATCAAGCATTTATTAGTGTAACATGATGATTCAATGCGGCATCGCTTTCATATCTAGAGGAGCTTTGTGTTACGCTTCCTACAACTTTGTAAAACTCATGGCTGAGTAGACTTAAGTGTACTGACAGATTGCTCAGCAATTACACGAGGGAGTGAGGCTCAAGAATGACGAATAACCCAGGAGTATTATCAGTGTTCCGTTGTCTATTTTTGAAGTATCAATAAGTGTAGCTTCTAATTTCTTTTGTTTTGTTGGTTACGTGCACACACATGTTGCCTGTGGTGGCAGTCGACATTCGGCACTTATCTGGTAGTTATTGTGGCTTAGATACCAGATGTCTGCAGAACCATTGGAGGGTATGCTGTCACTGGCTTACCTTAGGTTAAATGCCATTTAATTTTGCTTTTTTCCTGTTTTTAGGTCTCAATCATCATTAATTTCAGACGTACTAGAATCTGTCCTCAAAATTGTCATGGATGCTTTCATCACAGTTTGCAGTTAATGGCTTGGCATCCATTAGAATTCATATTTTCAGTAGTGACCTATCTGTCAGTAAGTCTGCTGTTCTTATATCACTTGGTCATATATCCTTTATTGTGGATCTTTTTGGCTTGAGGTACCCCTTTGCCTTGTGATGACATGTACTACAACTTCACTGGAAGTGTCCATTGATGAGTCAACAACCTGATTTTCTTTTGATGACACACATATCCCAAGTCAATACTGATCTCAACTTGTTCAACTAGCAGTGAGCACATTAAATTGTATTGCAGTACTGAATGTTTGCCCATTTCTTTAAACAGCCTCAATACCAACACTATATTCTGAGATGAAGTCAAATGAGGATGAAGGTTCTGGAGCACCAGCTGCTCAATGATCTGCTACAGCACATACTCAAAAACAAACAGACAACAACAAAAAAAAAAAAAAAAAAAAAAAAAAAAAAAGGAAGATGTCTAAGGTATGGATTCTGTCAAAGGTGCAATTTTAAAGCATGCCAGATTGTAATATACAAGAAATGTAGGACACTATATGGAAAGAACAGAGGGTGTCTTGGTACAATTCACTGCTTGTGGCAACAAAAGTAGTTTTGACACTAGTATGCCATCTGTAAAAACAAATGATTTGCATGTTGTAGTATGTACTGTGGGTGTTCATCATATGAGAAACCTTCCAGCCAGTGTTTTTCTAAAGGTCCATAAAGTGTGTTTTGTGTCACATAGGATACATACACTGCATGGATATGGATGAGGCTTCACAACTAAAGCAAATGGAACTTTCCATTCCTCCCACAATTATCTACTTGTAAGTTCAAACCACCTCCCTTGTTACCCACAGTTTTGAGGGGATTGTCCATGTACCTTCTTGAGTGTGTCTTCACATTCACAACACATGAAAGAAGTTGAAGTGTTTATTAAAACTAAAAAATGACAAAAATAAATAAGAAAATGAAAATACTCCTGTCCCGGTAGTAATAGGTTTAAACACTTTCTTTAGACACCAACATCATAAAATTTGTTGTCTTGTGTGTTTGGTTGTTGTTGCAAATGGTTATGCATTTGGATGTGGAACCTCTACTGTGTCAATTTGCACCTTTTTATGTGCAGCAACCTTAGTTTATAGTTCACATGTTTAATTGATACAGAGTGACATCTGTGTCCCACATACAATTTAGATTATGCTCATATATACATGCATGTATATGTGAGTGCATTTCCTTAAAACATTTCAAAATTGCAAAATTTATGCACTGTAAAAGAATGGATATATCAATCTTGAAAATAGTAAGCACTTGTTTAGAATATGAAAATTGTGGAAAAAACATACACACTTTATTGGCTTCTACATTGCTAACAAAGCCTTTCAATTAACATACATACATGTACCATTGTTTTGTAGTATGATAATAATAGCCAGGTTTGCATCAATGAACTTGATTCTTTGTCAAAAAAAGACTCATTATGTATTGTCATAATAACTTTTCCAATTGATAATAACCAAATAATGAAAAAATGTAAAAATATATTTAAATAGTGATATTATTTGCCATCACAAAGTTCCACAAACAAAAACATGATTTGGCATACACTTCTTTTTGAGGAAAAAAACAGTGTATGATGAATAAAGTTACAGTTTTAATAGCTGGAAATAAAGGTTGTTTGTATGCATATGAACTACACATGAGTAAAAAGATAAAAATAAAACTAGATGCAATCCACACAAATTTACAAATAAAAAGTGAACATTCACATTTCAAAATCACATATCAAAATTACATGAAAAGTTGAAGATTGATTTTAATTTTAAAAAATATTAATAAATAAAATGAAGTAATGTCATATTTAAGTGCAAAGAGTTGCTAAAGAAACACCTCCACGTTGTCAACATGACACCCTCCTTCCTCTATTCCTCCTTATTCTCAACTCATGTTCAATGTCTTCATCTCCTTGTTTCCATTTCCAATAACCATTTTCTATTCCAATTCATTATTATTTTATTTTATTTATTTTACAACAATAATCCTAAATAGAGTTGTTTTTATATATAATTATTTTGTGACTAAAATGTTGCTAATGTTGTATTGCAATCTTCTTATTGTAATAAAAAGATAATATATATTGTTTTGATTAAATACTATTGA